ACTCCGTGGACACCTACCATCCGATACTGGAAAAGCGGACCTATCTTCCAAGCATCAAGGAATCAACGCATATGTGAAGTAGATCCTAGCCGATACCACAGGAATTCCAAGCCGGACAGACGGACCATCCAAGTATATCCGTTAGTGGGGATCAAACCACCAAGTGCCTCTTTTCCCAGAGCTGGCAATAAGCTCCACCAAATGTGAGTGAAATATATTTCCTTTGATTATATACCACATCAGGACCAACAATATTTCACCATAGGCAGCTTTCTTTCTTGTTTTTTATCTTCACATATATGGACTACCTACCACACGGACGGAGCCATACTTGAGGATTAATATCGTGGTACTGCATATCAGTGAGACTGTTTTTATTCTATATTTTTAAGAAAATCCGGATGAACTTTATTTGATATTATTATCGTTGTTTATTTTATAAATACACGATCTTATATATTTCAACATATCTGTTTTACCTAAGCGCAGCCCTTGACCCCCTCTTTTTTCATATATATATATATACCCATAAAAAATGTTGTGTCGGACACTTTTTTATTTATTTATTTTTCCTACTTTTGTAGATTAATATAAAATATAGGTACAATTTATGATCGTGCAACTGATTGCCCTATGATGGACTGCATTTTGATTTACTTGGTGTATAGCTATGCGTTCGTCACACTAAAGATGTATGTATAATACTACAATCAGCAGCATGATAATCACTGCAATTTTTCCACTCGTTCAGCATATGGATGTTCCGATACTGCTTTGCCGTTCAGCTCACCATGTGCATTTCTGAGACCAAGCGGTTTATTTATTGTCGGCTGCTATGGCTTGTTGCACTGTGATTTATATTATCATTTGGGCACATGTATTCATTTATTTAAAATATCACTCATTTATCGAATACACTATTTGCAACTGGGTTATCTATTACATTAATAATTTATTAATTATTAGATATATGAGTTACGTTTGTTTTCCTTTTATTATTAGTATTGATTTAATTTGATTTCTATTTTAGTTTATTCATACCTTAATTGAGTATATCACATACTTTCTCTTTTTAATCAATTTCTTTCTGACCATATAACAATCTGATTGGGTGATTGAATTTTGAATGCTCCAATCAGCTTCCCAGCCCATCCCTTTAAAACCAGTAAAAGTAATTACCCGGTTCCCCTCTGATGAGCTGATTTAGCTAAACGTGCGTCAGGGGCTCTGGGGCATTGCTGTGTCCATAATACTGCTTGCAGTGATCTCTGATTTCTCTGAATTACTTTTGCTTTTTGGTATCTCTTTTTATATCTGTTATTAGACTGATTTCAGTAGCGAGTGGAGTGGATTTTCATCTAATACTAGGGTCATTTTTTGTGGGGTAAGAGGTGCCCTCGAAGGCACAATAGGGACAGTGACTGTGTTAATTATTTCCCCCCCGCCCCCCCATCTCTTTCCCTTCACCCTATCCTGCTCTTCATTTGGTTAACTATAGGGATTTTCACCTTCAGCGTCAGACTCTTTATCAGACATCTATCTTACAGACGCTACTTTTGTTACATTCCAATAGCGACTGAGATACATAGTTGTTAATAGAATCAGTATTATCACCGGTGGCCACCCAGTAAGTACCTATAATTGGTGAAGAGCGAAGCCACCTGCACTGTGAATGTTTACATGGTGTGTTCAATAAAAACATGGCAACATTTTATTCTTTGTGTTATTCGTTTAACCTCTTAAGGACTGGACTGTTTTTGCGATGTTGTACATTTGCGACCAGGCATATTTTGGAATTTTCCGCTCTCTCATTTACTGTTCCCATACAAATTATATACTGTTTTTTTCAGGACAAAAGGGGCTTTCTTTACATACCATTATTTATATAATCTCATGTATTTTAATTTAGAAAAAATAAAAAAATATGATGAAAAATTGAAAAAAATACATGTTTTTTGACATTTACTTGAAAAATCTTTTACTCATCTACAAAAGCGAATGAAAAAAACTGCTAAATAGATTCAAAATTTTGTCCTGAGTTTAAAAATACCCAGTGTTTACGTGCTTTTTTGCTTTTTTTTGCATGTTATAGGGCTATAGGTACAAGTAGGATATTGCGGTTTCAAAACAAACATTTTTAAAATTTATCAATAGTGACATTGTAACACTATTATCTGTCATAAATCTCTGAATAACACCCCACATATACATATTTTTTTTAAAGTAGACAACCCAGGGTATTCAATATGGGGTATGTCCAGTCTTTTTTAGTAGCCACTTAGTCGAAAACACTGGCCAAAGTAAGCATTCATATTTGTTTGTGTGTGAAAAAGTAAAAAAACTAAATTGAACGCTAATTTTGGCCAGTGTTTGTGACCAAGTGGTTACTAAAAAAAAGACTGGACATACCCCATTTGCAATACCTTGGGTTGTCTTCTTTTGCAAATGGTATGCCATCATGGGGGTAATTCTCATTCCTGGGCTACCATACGCTCTCAAAGGCAACGTAACCAACCTGGCCATTTTCAATGTAAAATATTTGACCCATATATTTGACCTTGTAACTTTCAAAAATGCTATAAAACCTGTACATGGGGGGTACTGTTTTACTCGGGAGACATCGCTGAACACAAATATTAGTGTTTAAAAACTGGAAAAGGTATCACAACAATTATATCATCAGTAAAAGTGCTGTTTGTGTGTGAAAAATGCAAAAAAAGTCACTTTCACTGACAATATCATCGCTGTGATATGTTTTACTGTTTTAAATCACTAATATTTGTGTTCAGCGAAGTCTCCCGAGTAAAACAGTACCCCCCATGTACAGGTTTTAGGGTGTCGTAGAACGTTACAGGGTAAAATACAGTGCTAGCAAATTAAATTCTCTGGAATTTCGGCCTGGGTTGGCAGGCAGGTCCCTCAAATTGCAATCAATAAAATTACTGAATTATGTAAAAATATTACATAAATACGCACATAGAATTTAAATACATATGCATATTTATATATTTGAAGTCTACGTGTATATTTATATAATTATTTATGTAATTTTGTATATGGACATATGTATATTTCGTATTATTTTTATTTATTTATATATACAATTTCATTCATTTGATATATTTTGATATAAATATATATATATATTAATTTTAAAATACAGTTAGAATAAAATTTCATATAGATATATAATTTTTTTTAAAAATTTTATTATTATTTAAAAAAATTATTTAATTTAAATTACTTATTATTTACATTTTATAATAATATATATATACAATATATAGTTATTATATATATTATATATATACGTGTGTAATTTAATTATAAGTGTATTTTTATATTAATATAAGTACATATTAATATAAAAATACACTTAGTATGACATTATATATATGATATATAGACATTATTTATATATAATATATGTCTATATATCATATTTATATACACATATATAATTTTTTTTTTTTTTAATTAACATTAACTTTATTTTATTTTTTTGATTTTACACATGCAGGGAGACTGCCTGTCAGCACAGACAGTCCCCCTGCAGGCAGACACATGGACACCTATTGTGACCATGTGATCGCTGTGTTGAGCAATCACATGGCCACAGGGGTCCTAATCCAGTGTGGGGAGACTGTCTGGGCTGCAGGCAGTCTCCCCACACCGGGAGCCACGCTGATCGCCGCCGGGGGAACGACGGCGATCAGGTAAGTAACTCAGACCGTTAGGACGGTTCAGGACCATCATCGGTCGGCAAGGCAAAAATGCAGATGACGGTCCTGAACCGTCCTCGGTCGTTAAGGGGTTAAGCAGACTGTGATTGTCTATTGTTGTGACTTAGATGATGATCAGATCACATTTTATGACCAATTTGTGCAGAAATCCACATCATTCCAAAGGGTTCACATACTTTTTCTTGCAACTGTATATAGTATATTGTATCCTCTGCCTCTTCTCTTTCTTTAATAATAATCATACTTTCATTACTTAAGGATGTTTGGACTTGTGAACCTGTCAAGAAAAATGCATTAGAACACTATTTTAAGTTTGTGTATATATATATATATATATATATATATGTATATATATATATACACACACACACACACTTTTCAATACTCTTTAATGTAACTTTATTTGAGTCTGTCCTTTTTTTGTGATGATAAAGAGCTACATAACAAACCAGAGTTGGTCTATTTTTAATCAAAAGACCAGAAGTCTGACCTTTGATCATAGCTCCCAAGTAAATTTAAGCATTTATTCCACAAACCCAGGGATTATGAAGAATTTTAAGCCAAGAGAGCAGAACTGGAAAATGAATTTAAAAAATGTTTACAATTCAGCTAGTCTGGATGTGTTGTTCCCTGATTAATTTGCCACAATTTCTATTCCGTGAATAAACCATACCGTCTTTAGTATCCTTTTAAAATATTATATCTTTCTAACTAGATAATGTCACAGAAATGATGAAAATCACAACACACAGTCTGATACGCAAAAGACACACAATAGGTTTCGAGAACCCTGTCTCCAAGCAAGCTCCAAAGTTTCAAATCTGCAAATAAAGGCTAAAACATGACAGAGTGACAAACCGATACAGTGCCTCATAAAAGTCCTACCTGGAATTTGATCATTTATAAAGTTAGAGGAACACAATTAAACAATTTAGAGTGTACCTTCTAATGTTTAGAATAGTTAAAAACACTATGAAAGCTTACATATTTTGCAGAGGTAGGACAGTCTCCTCTGTTTCTGCTGAAGTCATCAGTGCTGATGACTTTTGCCCAATCAGATGCTTCTATCGAGAAGCATTAAGGACATATAATGCATGCAATGCTGAGAAGTCTAATATCCACTAGAGGCGTGTTTTCGACCAATTTTAAACGATTCAGGAGACATGATGGGTATCATACTTTACTTCTATGAAAGCAAAATAATAAAGTGTTAATTCTTCAGCCTAAAATGACACATAAAGCATTAAATAATATTCATAGCATATTAACTTATACTAGCTAAGAATTGAGTTGCTAGAGGTTATAGGAAACATTTCTGACTTAGCTTGTCCACCTTTATGGGTAATAAAGGGCTAATCTGATAGAACATTAAATGTCCAGATTTGTATAAAGAAATTACCAGATTACATTAAAATGACAGGACAAATGACTTTATTCTGGAAGGTTTTGCAGACAGTGCGAATCACCAAAGTTCTAGACGGTTATATATTACAAATAATTTATGGCTAAAAAGCATTATTTGTGAAATCCAGATGACCAACCCCATGAAGAAGACAAGAAAAAAAAGAAGCCATGATACATTTCAGGTTTTATATGGAATCCGTCTCAAGAGAAGAATTCATCTCCATCTTCGTCTCATCATAAGCAAGAAGTAGAGCTCACACACGTTTAGTTGCTTTTGGGAATTTACACTGAATTTGTTGATAAGGCACAACAATATAGTGTGGTAGAGGTCCTCAGTCTACTGGCTAAAGGCTTGGCAATGTGACTTGGTACAAGAGGTCAGGGCATCTATGTGTACAATTCAACAGACCTTTTTCAGATTTATTACCCCCAAAAAAATAACACTCCCAGCTGTACAAAATTGTTCATGTCGTTGAGCATTTGTCGATAAAAGGCTTTATTCTTCCAGGTTACTAGCACCTATGAGAGACAAAACACAGTGAATTAAATTATAAAATCATATTGTTATTATTATTATCAAATTAGAAAAAAAAACATACAACATGTCTGCTATTCTTAATATGGGTATGGTTATGGTGGGAGTTCTTTGATCAACTTCAGAAAGTTGATTATTGATTTTATTTTAGATCAAACCAGTGATGCTTAAAGTGTCTCTTTAGCTGCACTGCAGGGTTTCTCTCTAAACATTTTTTTCTTTCTTATGATGGATACTATCTTTTTTTTAAAATTACATTTTCTCTTAAAGGACCACTATAGGCACCCAGACCACTTCAGCTCAATGAAGTGGTCTGGGTGCCAGGTCCAGCTAGGTTTAACCCTGCCTGCTGTAAACATAGCAGTTTCAAAGAAACTGCTATGTTTACATATGGGTTAATCCAGCCTCTAGTGGCTGTCTCATTGACAGCCGCTAGAGGAGCTTCCCGAGCTTCTCACTGTGATTTTCACAGTGAGACGATGCCAGCGTCCATAGGAAAGCATTGAGAAGGAATTTGAATGAATCGACCCACCTGAAATGCATTTGTCCACAAGTGTATTAATTACTGAACCACAGCAAAGGTCATGAACATAAAACGCAAATCATTAAATAGAGCCGAAATCCATGGAAGGCATAGAGTATCTTTACACTAATAATATAGTTTAAGTATTTAATTACTAACTTTATAATATCTTATTATTATTTTATCTTTATCCTATGCATTGATTTATTTTTCATTTACATTTTTTTTTTTTTTTTAAGTCTGGCTTTTAAATCTAAATTACTTTTGCTCAAATATGCGCGATTAGCAATTAGTGGAGTTGTGAATTACTAAATCATTAAGCACTCATTAAAAAAACAATGTGAACTGGATTGTGAGTACCATAAACATGATCATCCCTATTCATACCCGCTCTTCTAAGCTACGCAACTAGATGCAGGTTGTAAAGACCTTTAACTGTAAAACGTTGAACATATGAGTATATCTCTTCACATTACTACTGACATGAGTAACAGGAGTATTCCATTGAAAGATCCGCTCATTAAGAGAACCACAACATTTGTGTCACCTGAGTGATAATGAAATTGTCTTTCATTCCCCAGTTAACGTACTGATCTCTGGCTCTGCCGCATCCACTGAGTGTCCGGTTTCCTCGTCCTTTGTCTCTCCCCCTTCGTCCACTGTCTCTTCATGCATCTTGGCTTCCACTGCTTCTTCAATCTCACCTGAACACGGTCACCATGGAGATGTAATTAGTATAGTCAAGTTTATACACAGAAATACAGGTCGTATAATGTTCTAATGTAACAATATATTGACCATGGCGGGTGCAAAGTTAACACAATCCAGTAAACAAATCAGTATACAAACAGAAAACGTCTCTATCTACCAAAGCGTAACACAAGAAAATCATCTAGGCTAAATACCATCCCTGGTCTGTTTTCCGCTCTGGGTCCGCTATTACATATAAACACTATATAACTGTAACTGTCCTTAAATGTATTAATGCTATGGTAAGTAAAGTGGGATATTAAAAAACAAACTTATCTGTGCGCTTTCCCAAATGCCTGTCCATTTATTTAACAGAGTTATCAATATTACTGCAATGGGCATTAAAGTGTAAGCTCACCTGCCAATATCAAAGCAAAACTCTTTAAGTGTATATAAAATACATAACTATATGGCATCAATAAATCATATAAAGCACTGGTCCTTGCTCTTCTCTTCTCAAACTATGTACAAGGCATTCACTTAACAAGCTATGATCCTTTGTTGTAGCGTAATATAACGAACATTACAAATCATTTTGCTAAACATCAGTGATTTGAAGTGGTCATGGTGCCTGAAGTCTGTAACACTGCACATACAGAGTTTGACCTGCCTGTTTCTAACAATGAAGAACACATAGAATCGCATGAGTACCGACATATGGGTCCCGATATTTAAAAAACTATTCAAAAAGAAAGAAGATTTTTAGTATTATGTGTGGTAGACAATTTACCTTCAACTAATACATTGTCGTGATTTTCCTGCACTTCTGTGGACTGGTCTGTTTGTTCTAATGTTTTGTCATTTTCTGGAGCAGTGCTGGTTTCATCTGCTGGCTCAGAGGCTTCCAATTCCACCGCTTCTATGGCTTCCACTTGCTCTTCTTCTGGTGGGATGCCATTAGTTGATGCTTCATGATCTGGTACTAATTTAGTTTGGTCTGGAATAGTTTCAACGTCATCTACAGTTTGATCACTTATATCTGAAGAAGCTGAAAATGCAAGATAAAAAAAATATTTTTAAATTGTATTGCTTATTCGGAATACTCCAAAATACATAAAGCAAGCGGGATATCATAGGCATCAAGACAATTTTAGCTTATGAAGCAGTTTTAGTATATAGATCATGTCCCTACTGTCTCACTGCTCAATTCTTTGCCATTTAGGAGTTAAATTATTTTGTTTCTGAACATGCAGCCCTAGACACACCTCCCCTGACTGTGACTCACATAGCCTGCATAAAAAAAAAAATATCCTGCTCTATAAATTGAACTTTGATCAAACACAACAGGTTCATGCAGGGTTTAGAAGGCAATTAACAGAGCAGGAGATGTTAAATTCTAAATTAAACAGACTGTGCAATAAAGGAAGTTTAAACATTAGATTTCTCTCTACAATTTAGGAAGGTTGTGAGAGTGACATGCAGGGAGGTGTGCATGGGGCTGCATAACCAAAGTGATTTAACTCTAAAACAGCAGAGAAGTGAGCAGTGAGACTGCAGGGACATGATCTATGCACCAAAACTGTTTCATTAAACCAAAGTTGTTTGAGTGCCTTTAAGTGTTTAAATTGTTGCTATGAAGGTGCTATTTCACTAATGTTTTCCTTATATTAATCAGTTTTAATATATATTATTAATAGAATGTATTTATTTCCTCCTAACCAAGATAAGACTCCATATCTGAATTATAATTGTGGATGTAGCCATCTTGGTATTGTGGCACCAATTGCCAAATTTAGTCCATATCTGATTTAAAAAAAAAAAAGCTGAAAAGAGCATGGAGCGTCAGCAGCCAATCAGAATCTGTCAGCTAATTAGATTCCGCCTTTCCAAGATTATTTACCATTGCCAGGTTAGCTTTAAACATTTTATCATTTAATAAAACCGCTGAGCGTATTTTAAAATCACCCACAGAAGGTACAAGAAGTTTTTAAATGGTACTCTAAGCATCAATACCATTACAGCCTGGTAGCCACGGAGGTCATCATTCATTGGCTGAGAGCGTCAGCTGACCGCTCAAGGCCAATAACTGGCGTTCTGTGCAACAAAAGTTTGACATTAGCCAGCCCAGAAATCTAGTTTCGGATAGTTCTGGGATGGCTGATGACACTCTTGTGAGTTACACCTGGCATGCTAAGTGGTTAAACTCTGTATGTGCAATGTTTTAAAGTTAAACGTTGTACATAAAGACCCAAGCCACCATGACCACTTCAATCACTCAAATGGTCATGGTGCTTAGAATAATTGACAAAGGCCATGTTCACATGAAAATGCCAGCACGGAATGATTATACTAATTAAGCTGTAGTGGTTCTGGTCACTGTTATATCAATGTGGAGTCTTACCTTGTAATATGTGTGACGTTAGCGTTGGTACATGCCTCTTTCCTTGCTCTAACCACTTGCACTAATTGGGCGTTTGTTCACAAACATGTGAATAGCAGTACAAACAAGCGAATTGTAACCTGCAGGCCACCACTGACAAACTGGCTTAACAGCTGAGTCAGATATATTTTTTTCAATTCAATTTTTTTTGGTTCTGTACTTAGCCATTGTTTTCCATTTTAATTATACCTTGAGACGTTTCATTAGACATCAATTTCAGCATTTTGTAAATGTTCCATTTCCACCACAACAATAGGATCATTGTGAATAGATAAAGAACTTGTTTAACAAGGCTGAAATTTTGCTCACCGATCAAGGTTTCGTCAATGTTTAACATGATGGGGAAGCGTTATCAGGGCTATTCCATAACATTTCAAATGGACAAAGAGGGACAATTTCATTTTAAAGATGTGAGTGTGTGTGTGGCCAGGCTGTTCTAAGAAATATGAAGTGAGTTGCAAATACAATTTATATAACTAAACTGTAATTTTAAACAAGAACGGTGTATATTATTTACACAGACTGATTTCTAAACACATTTATTGTAGTTTAAAGAGACATTATAGTCACCAGAACAACTACAGCTTAATTAGTTTAATCATTCCGTGCAGGCATTTTCATGTAAACACTGTCTTTTCATTGCCCCCTAGGGACACCTCCAGTGGTTACTCCTCAAATGGCCACTGGAGGTGCTACCTGGGGCAGTGCCTAAAGACGCAGAACTTTCCTCATTGAGATGCATAGATTCAAAATCATTCTGATGATGTCAGCAAGGAGGCAGATCAGGGGCGGGGCCAGTGGCGGCAGACCCGCACTGCGCTGGAAATAAGGTAAGTTTTCCTTTCTTTTAAGGGGGATAAGTGGTTGCAAGTCATCTAAATGGTGGTTTTAACACTATAGGGTTTGTGTTCCTGACCCCACAGTGTTTCTTTAAAGACACATTACTGAGAGTATTATTGTGTGCAGCTTCGTTATACACTCAGACACAGCAACAGTATGGAGTTCTTACAAAAGAGGGACATTGGGATAGAATAGTGGAACGGAGGGATTTTGGCCCAAATTAGGGATTGTCTCTCCTTAGCTTGGGAGGTACGTTATTCTTGGGCAAAGATCTAAATAAGCATTAATCACCATGAAACCAATAGAAAGGCCGTTAGCATGAAGCATTTTGCTACTGTTTTGCCTAAATACTTGTTTGAGAAATACATTTGCCATGTTTGAAAGCCAGACACAAGGTGAATGGAGTTCACAAAACACCTTATAGCTAACTGAACATTATAAGAACATTCATATATGAATATATATGCCAGAGATCCCACTAGTATCCAATATGCTCCATGCATGCATTGCCATTTACCCTTAATCCTTAAAGGGTTACTCCATGCATAATAACTACTACAGTCTGCTGCTGCTTTCAGCACTGTGAAGAGCTGCAGAAGCCGATCCAGTCACCATTCATTGTTTGAGAGCGTCAGCTGACCGCTTTCAGCCAATTAATGGCAGCCAGTGCATGAAAATTTTAACAGAACTGAAATTAGCCAGCCAGGAACTCTGTCCCCCAATGACTCTGCTGGAGGAACAGTTACCCCTCTGGAAGCCAAAGTGTTAAAATCATTTTATAGCGCAACGCTGCACATACAGACTCCAAGCACCATGACCACTTCAAATCAATGAAATGGTCATGTTGCTCGGAGTAACCCTTTAACTCTCTGAGTGCAATGTTTTGCCAGCTTTGCTAGGTCAAATGCGGCATAAGGTATTAAAATATGGATTTGTTAAGGATCACATCACATTGTTTAATAATATTTTGTTTGAACACCACCAGTTTCCCGGTGCTGAGTAACAACTAGGCATGTTGAATGTTTTAGTCTCGCTCCACTTTATGTCAAATCCGAGTCCTCAACATCACACACAACAGAAAAGAGATGTGAGCCAGTACATTGCGCCAACACAAACAGTGTGATTTGTTGGGAATGCAAAGTGAATTTGTCCTAAATTTTTAAATTCCAATAACTGACATTTTGTGAATGTACAATTCATTAACACATCTACACTGTGTACACTGTTCATCACTTGGTGTCTCTTTATTGGATATTCACTTTAATCTACACATTGTGCTATCCAAGTTGCTAACAAATGTATAGTTAGTTTTTCCATGTTTTTCCTTCTAAGAAAGAGTGTTGGGCTTTTTTTCCTTTACATTTTGGGATTCTCATCTTTATAACCTTCTCATTAGACACTCCTACTATGGATTTTCTTCATAATCCGGTAAGGAGATGAAAGATCTCCCTCGCTTGCTCATTGTACAAACCAGCAAAAAGGTTACAGGGAGCACATGGTCTGCACCTCCAGCATGCGCAGACCAAATGCTTTGCTTCTATGAGCTCACTGAAAAAGAAGTGAGTATATATACTGTGTGTATATATGTATATATATATATATATATATATATATAGACAACACGCCCCTATACACACATCAGCCTCTGTACATACATAAACCACAGCCCCTACACATACACACACATATACTAGAGCCCATACTTGCACGCTACAGTCCATGTACACCCACACATTACAGCCCTTATAAACACGTACACACACACACTACAACCTCAATACAAATACACATATATTACAGCCCTTATAAACACGTACACACACACACTACAACCTCAATACAAATACACATATATTACAGCCCTTATAAACACGTACACACACACACTACAACCTCAATACAAATACACATATATTACAGCCCCTATACTCATATATGCACAGTTGGGGACCATGTCTTCAAGGGACACTCCAGACCCCTAAAGCACTACAGCCTGCTGAAGTGCTTCATGTGTTAAGAGTGTATCCTTTTTTTAAATTCCATTTCACAAAACATGTAGATTTCAATAGAAATAGGGACTATCATAAATTAACCTTGTTACACTCCCCTTACTGTCATTCATACAAACAGTCCTGTTACGTCCTGGTTTGGTTAGCTCAGTGGAGCTAAACTCAAGAGGCAGCAATTGTCCAACGTTCCTGCCTTGCAAAGACTTCTCATTGAGTTCCATTGGGGAGTCTATGATTGGACAGCCACAGAAAGTCTGGGCGGGGTTAGAAGAGGAGGGCTAACAAAGGCTGCAGATAAGAGATCTGCAGCTTTTCTAGGCTGTTTTTAGAAATACCAACAATGAAAAAGTACATAGCGAAAGGTATGGGTATGTTTAACAGTGATTTTCATGTATTAAACTTATTTGGGCAGCTGTTTTTAGAAATACCAACAATGAAAAAGTACATAGCGAAAGGTATGGGTATGTTTAACAGTGATTTTCATGTATTAAACTTATTTGGGCAGCTGTTTTTAGAAATACCAACAATGAAAAAGTACATAGCGAAAGGTATGGGTATGTTTAACAGTGATTTTCATGTATTAAACTTATTTGGGCAGTGGAGTGTCCCTTTAAGTACCAGAGAGAACGCTCAGATGGTTAATGTAATTTCTATATTACTTGTTCAAACATCAGAGTTGTTGGGTTAAGTCCAAATACACAGAATCAACTCAGCCTTTTCTCTTTCGGAAATTAACTAAGAAGAAAAAAAAGGTAGCATCTTTATAAAAATAAAATAATTTTTTTTTAAAACTTTCATAAACCTGGATTTCTAGAATAATAAGCCTGGCTATCTAATGAGTTCCAAGCTCGTACACAATGTAGGCAATTAATCTACTGATGCCGAAACAGACATTCCCGTGTTACAAGTCATTAGACTAATTAGCTTCCTTATAGAGTTTCAGTCCTCGTTTGGCAACATAACAACTTGGATATATTTTTGGTATCTTTTTTTAATTGATGCAATATCTGTTGTTGAGTAAATCATACAACAATGAAGAAAATACTATATACACATTGCCTTTTCTCCAACATTAGTTAATAGTTATTTTTTGCTACACTGGCTACATTAAAGTTTGTACAATCAAAATCAAGTAATTTATTAAACAGACACTAAAAGGAATTTCTTTAACAGCTACTAAATTGGAAAAATGAATTATGTTTTAATTAAAAAAAAAAATAGATCACCTTTTTGCTAATTTGAGTAGTGGGAATCAGGGAATTTGTAAGAAAAAAAAAAAAAAGTATGTCAGTGTCACTGTGTCTTTTACACTAATTCAGGAACTGTGGAAAGCTGACAAGGGAACTGAAACTTTTATAGAAAAATAGATGAGGTGGAAAAATAGTTGAACTATAGAAGTATTAGCTACCGTGGCCTACTTTTTGCAAGTCGTTTGTCAGTTCTCTGTAATTAATAGTTAAAATGGCTCTCAAAGTAAGGTAACCAATCATAACTAAAGCTCATTCTAGTGGTTATGGTGCATTCTGACCATCTGATTTATTTCAATTGGTTTGAACTATTTGGCATAAACTATAGACTCCTGGCACATACAGCTCAGCTACTCTATCACAGGACGAGAACCCTGGGCTAATCTGTCCTCAGCTATCTCAGCCTACCGTCACCATCTATAGTTGCAATCCATAGTTGCCATCCAAAAGCTCCCTTTATGTAAACAAATTTAATTGGAGCAGATGGCTTAAAGGGGAAGTCTAAACACCATAACCACTACAGTTTCAGCTAACATTATCAACCAAATGTATACATATCTTCAAAATCGTAGGACCTTGAAATCGGACTAGGACTTTAAAAGCTTGTATTTAAGTCCAAGGAGACAGAATTGATGTGATTGTAAGGGTCATGGGCACTTAAAGGACCAGGTAAGTGTCAAACCATTCAAAAAAGGTTGCAGTCCTTACCGTAGGACGGTGCCAGTGGACTCCTGTCACTATAAAACAGTACATCAGACTGTAGTGGTTATGGTGCTTATATTGCCCCTTTAAACAAGCCTGAAAATGATGAAGCATAACCCATTATAGCTGCAAACAGTCATAAGTATTTTTGCTAACATACAATTAAGCTGTCTGAATCATGGCAAGATGTGATGGTCCTTCTCGGTTGTTACATTGTTTACGGTTCTGGAAGTATAGGTATCTGGGGATTAATGCTGTCTTCCTAGGAGTATTCTTTTGTTTGCCCATCATTTGGTGACAAACATAGTGACATATAAATAAGAAACACTAAGGTAAATTCACAAACATTTTTTTCAAATAAACCCTTTTACATGGGAGGAAATATTTTTGTCCACGTTTCTTCTGATGTTTTCCGTTGCATTTCATGCGAATTTCATTAACTCTCTCAACCATCTCATGGAATGTTGTTAGAAGTGCTAGTTCTCCTTAATGAAATGTGATCAGCATTTTCAGATTTGGAGGCCCTGACCTGCTGGGGTCTGGTAGATCAACAAGACTTACATCTATATGTTCCCACAGTTTGCATAAACGTACATCTATATGTTCCCACATTTGGGGTTGCAGCTAATTTTGCACAGTATTATTTATGTATTTATTTATTTAGAAGGCTTCTTCATGTTTTAATATATTAAAATAACTGTTCCCTTAGGGTATTACAATGCGCCTGTCTGACCATTCCATGTGTCCTTCGGGATTCCAGAAATATACAAGGCTGTTATGAGGTAAAATGGTGGCATGAGAAGCATATGTTTCAGGATGCAGGGTAGAAACCTAAATATGTCCCTAGGCCAAGTGCTTGCACTAATCAGGAGAATAAAAAATAAAACGTCATGGGAAATGTGGAGGAAACTTTAAGTCAACTCTGACTATCCACACTATCCCTCAAGCCTTCTCACACTGAAGCTGAAACATCCTGGTGTGTTATTCACTTTGGGACTAATGCCCCCAATATTTTTTTTACTAATGTGAGAATTGTTGGGAATTCAAAGAGAATATCAAATTTAAAAGCAAAGTAGCTGAATGAGAGGCATAGCTGACAGAGATTTTTTATTTTAACCTGAATTTTGAAATTTACTTTGAATTCACTTTGACTTTCCAACAATCCTCACTTTATTGAATAACCCTGTAAATGTGTTTCTGAAGAATTATCTTTATAACCAAGGCAGAGGCAGCTACATCATGTTACGCTCTACCCTACCCAGCCTGCAATGTGATCATTCCATGGTGATTTACTGTTTAATTATTTCAAACATGAACACTTTCATTGTTGGTTTACCAATGGTGTCATGTCTCTCACTTACTTTACATGTTGTGTAAGGGTGATTTTCTAAGCAATATTAAAGGGATACTCCACTGCCCAAATACAAAAATATAATAATCACTATTTAGTAGATACACCCCAAATGAAAACAAACTGGGGTGTATTTATTTGGGGGTTAAGCTAAAATCAGCAGGTAAAAGCTGCAGGTACCTTGTCTGCAGCCTTTGCAAGACCTCAACTTTTTCCACAGCCCAAACCTTCTGTGGTTGTTCAGTAACAGACTTCCCAATGCAACTCAATGAAAAGTTTTACCAAGGATGGCCAGCTTTGATGACATCAGAGTGCAGGGAGGACGTGACTGCCCAGGTCACTTCCTCCCTTCAATCACAGAGCCCACACAGGAGAAAGAAAGGAGGGAGTCAGAGTGGGAACTCTGATTCCCATCAGCCTGAGCCACTGGACCAGTGGCGTACATACCAGGGTCGCAGGGGTCGCGGCTGCGACCGGGCCCGGCACACCAGGGGGCCCGGCCGCCCCTGCGACCCGGTATGTACCCACAGGGCCAGCCTCTTCTGAAACTGCTATGTTTATGAAAAAATGGGTTACCCTAGCTGGACCTGGCACCCAGACCACTTCATTAAGCTGAAGTGGTCTGGGTGCCTAGAGTGGTCCTTTAAGTGTGTGTGCATCTGCATGCACTGGTGTACATACCGCGGTCGCAGGGGTCGCAGCCCTGTAACCCCTGCGACCAGGTGCCCACCGCCATGTGTTGCGGCCCGGCCCGTGCGCCGGGGGGGGGGCCCACGGATCAATTTTCGCACCGGGGCCCCATGGGTCATGTGTACGCCACTGCACTGGACCACAGGGAAAGTAACCATCCTGCACCTAAAAGGTAGGGAACAGGGGGGTGACATTTAGCACATATCTCTGTGTGTGTGTGTGTGTGTCTGTGTATGTATGTGTCTCTGTGTATATGTGTCTCTGTGTGTATGTGTGTCTGTATGTATGTGTGTGTGTGTTTGTTTGTATGTCTGTATGTATGTGTCTTTGTGTGTATTTGTATGTACGTGTGTCTGTATGCATGTGTGTGTCTGTATGTATGTATATGTGTGTGTGTATATGTGTGTGTCTGTATGTATGAGTCTCTGTGTGTGTGTGTTTGAATGTATGTGTCTGTGTGTCTATATGTATGTGGGTGTGTTTGTATGTATGTGTTTGTCTGTGACTGTGTGTGTATGTGTGTGTCTACATGTAGGGCAATTTTCGCACCAGGGGCCCCGTGGTTTCTAGTTACGCCTCTGCTCTTAAGTTTATCTCCAAACCAGGAAGTAACAGGACCTGTTGTCTGACTGACAACTAGTGGGGTGTAACAAGGTCCATTTATAAAAGTGCCAATTTCGATTAAAATCTGCACTTTTTGTAAAAATGGAAAAAGAGGACATGCTCTTCAAACATAAAGAACTTCAGCAAGCTAGCATGCTTTAGGAGTCTGGAGTGTCCTTTAAATACTGTTTCCCACATTTTGAGTATCTTACTTTATGTTGCTAGTTGAACTTGATGAATCTAGTTGGGTGTTTTCATGGTGATAAAATATATTTTTTAGAGAGACACTCCAAGTGCCATAATAACCTATCCATTGGTTACGATACTAAGCTACCCCCTACCCCTGTCTCTCTCCATTCAGTTGCTTATAGAAGTATTTTCTCTGTGATAACAAAGAAGGAATCTTTGCATTGTCTTGTGACTGTGCAATATCTGGATGGTGTGCGTATGCTGTGCAGGTCACTACCGCCTATGTTTGAATCCCTGAGGAAGCCTGAACTACATGTACAGATCAGTGGTCAGTGGCTTGGGCCATGCACTTCCACATTTACAGTTTTATAAGCTGGTATCAGCTTATTCTGCAATTCCACTCATTAGATGTAGAAAGGACAGTGGGTTATGGCATAGACTAATAGATCACAGTGAGAGTATTCCTTGTCTAGGACAGGCTCTCTGCTGATGCTTTTCTTTCTTTAATTTGCCTGGAGTGTTTAAATGTGTATTTAGATCATTGGTTCCCACATATTGCACTCTAAAAGAATTAATTAATTTACCTTTAATCCAGCTGTGAGTGGGTAATGCCACAGTTCCACTCTGCTTTATACCTGCATTCAGTGTCTCCACGTTCTACATGGAGGCTCTGAATGTTCCCCATAGAGATGCATTGAGTCAATGCATCTTTGTGATGAGATGCTGATTGGTGCAGCGAATGCGCAATAACCTCCAAAACATTGGTTTAGCGGAGATCATCAAGAAGAGACTGGCACGTGGTTAAAAACACTTTCCCATGTGAATGGAGGGGGTCATTAACCTAAAAGGATACATTCATTGATAAACACACACACTGATACTGACAGACACACACTGATACACACATATTGATACTGACAGAAACACACACACACTGACAGACACATACTGACATAGACACGCACACTGACACTGACAGATACACACACTGATACTGAAAGACACACACACACACTGAGATACACTGATACTGACAGTCACACACACACTGATAGACACATACACTGACACTGACACACACACACACACACACACTTTGTCACAAATTGTTTTTTATTTTATTTTAATTTAAATCCACCCAGCCTCCCAACCTTTGGGAGAGCTTTGTTTATCTTTCCCTGGGGTCCAGTGGGGCTCCTCTGATCATCTTCCTGCAGTGCCTCTCTGCTCTCTGGTGCGCACTCTGTAGTGATGCTGGGGCCAGAGTGACATCATATTCCAGCTCCCGGCATCCCTATACAGTGTGCGAGGAAGCAGAGAGGAACTGCTGGAAAATTATTGCTACTTTGCTGCCTACTGTATTCCTCACTGGCTACTTCCTTGCTTCATCGCCGCCTCGGCGGTGTTCTGTCAGTTTACCACCCGTCTCCAATGCCCTCCAGGCGGCCGCCTATGCTGTTAGGGTTGACAAATCCCGGGCACCAGTGCAAAAAATTCTAGTTGCCATGGCAGCCTGCCATCTGGGATTTGTCGATCCCTGACAGAGGGTGTATGTGTGGCATCCTCCCTATGCCTCCCTGCAATGCTTCTCATAAATATGTTGTATTGACTTCTTGCCTGATCCTGGGGTTTGGATATTACAAAGTAATCAGGAAGAGTACCTTCCCGAATGTCTGATTGTCAGCCAAGAGGGTGCGACCCAGACACGATATGTCTCTTGAAATTGGTTCTTGTATAAAGTGAGAACATGGGACACTGTTTAACCCAAAAGCACTTGCAAGCTGAAGTGCTTTAGTGGTTTGGAGTGTTCCATGAAGAAACTGGGTGTCCCTTCCAGCATGAAATGGTAGGTTGTACACATGTAGACAGATATTTTCATACAGAGCTATTTACTAAAATGGTAATTGTCAGGAACTGACCATGAAATTCAAAATGAATAGTTTCTGTACCTTTGTGCCACTATATTTAACAACTCCATTTCATCTCATTCCATCGCTTTTAATGGAGATTTCTTAGTTCTTAGAATTTTTGCCCTGGCACTGGGTCACTAGTGCTCATTGATGATGTGACAGAAGACAGAGGCAGCTGAATGAATTCTGACATGTATAGGGATATATTGCCTACTAAGATTCATCCAAAGTCAGTGAAGTTGCTTGGATGGTGCTTCACTTTAAAGATGGACAATGATCTAAAACATACTGCGAAAGGAACCCAGGAGTTCAATCTCAGCCAATCCAATGCTTTCCTTTGAATTCACTGGGTAATACACTGAGATAATAATTTCTGATGATGTCAGTCAAGCAGGCAGATTAGGGGCACAGCCGGCACCAGCAGACTGCTATAATGGTAAGATTTTACTATATTTATGAGTGCCGGGGGTACTAGATAGTGATTTTACCACTATAGGGTTAGGAATACGTTTGTGTTCCTGACCCTATAATACTGTATTCCTTTAAGGCAGAAAAACCCATGAACAAACATCAACTGGGGGTAACTGAAGTAAAGGCCTGGCAAAGCCTCACAAAGGAGGAAACACAGCATTTGTGATGTCCTTGTGTTCCAGACATCAAGCAGTCATTGTCGGCAAAGGATTCTCGACAAATATGATTGTGTTAATTTCTCCAATTACATTTGAGTTCCTCAAATAAGTGGACTGCGTATGAAAATGGTTGCAATTCCTAAAAGTTTCAAAGTATTTTTTTGTTCAACCCCTTGAATTAAAGCTGAAAGTCTGCACTTCAATTGCATCTCGGTTGTTTCATTTCAAATTCATTGTGGTGGCATACAGAATTGAAAATTGTGCCAGTGTCCAAATATTTCCGGATCTAACTGTATAATTACCTATGTATTGCCAAGACTGCATAACACAAGTTCAGTGACAGTATAACCTAAATATTTAAAAACTTTCAGCAGACTTTTAAATAATTTAATGTGTTGATATCATCATTTTAATCCCATGAGTACTAGAGGAGACAGTTTATTTTTAAAAGGAAACTCTGGGCTGAACTTCATCCATTTCTTAAACACAATTTTAACAAGTCATTCCGTTTTAACACACTGTATGGATAATGTATTGAAAATATGCACAATAAAAATTATAAAAACAATACTGTGTGCTGAAAATTCCCGGGCCCTGAAGCATGTGCGGTGAACTCTTTCCAAACTCTCAAATCGTAACAATTTCTGCATATTTGCACTGTTTTCAGTATCACTTAAAGGGACACTCCACTGACCAAATTAAAAACAAATAGAAATCACTGTTTAGTAGACATACTCCAAATGAAAACTTGCATGCATTTAATTATGCATTTTTTTCATTGTGGGTATATCCAAACACAGCTTGCAAAACCTGCAGTTCAAGAGTCTGCAGCCTTTGCAAGCTCTCCACTTCTAACCCCATCCAGACTTTCTGTGGCTGTCCATTCAAACAATGAAAGTTAGGAGAGAGGGACAGAAAAGGTTGGCTAATGTTGTAAAATTCTGAGAAGAAAAAAATGAACCCCTAAGAATTTTTTTAAATTTTTAAAATTTATTTTTTTATTTTTTTAAACAAGAGCACTATAGTCACCCAAACCACTTCATCTCAATGAAGAGGTCTGGGTGCAGTGATACAGTCCTTTTAACCCCGTAATGTAAAACACTGCAGTTTTTTTTATTGACAGCCACTAGAGGTGCTTCCGCTGCATTGACCGAGTATAAGTCCTATGGGGACATTTGAAGGAGGAACTCTGGATTTTACCACTGTGAAGGAGGCCATGTCTCATCTATGTTGTCGCACGAGGCGGAGAGGTGAGCAATGTTTATTGCGGAAGGGAGGTACCTATAGAGATCTAGGGACAGAGACACGATAACATTATGAATGCAGGTTTGTAATTCTAACCCTATAGTGTTTCTTAAAACTTTATATTTTTAAGGTTTTCTTAAAATAAGTTTTCTTGGTTTTTCAAAGACTTTACTGTGACTAAATACAATGACATGTGTCATGCTAGTATGCCATGTTTTATAGTACAACAACACAGAGTTCCAACTTATCTCAAGTCTGTGATGGGATAAGGGCACTGGACACAAAAAGTTACTATGAATCTCTCAAACACATAGGTAGTTGTTACTATGCTACATTATAATAAAGTCCAAGAAGGTTGATATTATATATGAAACAATTTTATGTATACAATGTGCTATTAATACATTATGCCCACAATACAATGAAGTGACACTAAATCATTTTAGTGAGAACACGTGGACTTTACATAACTAAATACATCTTGATTATATCAAGACATGTGTTACATTTTCTAAATTCTATATCATGTGTCTGCCATAATCAGGTCTAGGAGAACCTTAGATCTTTATTCGCATAAGTAGGAACTATGTACGTTTGACAAAGGAACCGAAATTTGTAGGCCAAGGTAACGTAGGTGGAAAAGTTGCCAAGTAAGATATTTTTTCCAATTAGGCTATTTGTCTTGCCAAGAATTTAGTATTTACTTGTTAATTCTCCACATTACCCAGTTTAGTGACAGTGCAGGGCTCTCGTGTTAGATATATACAGCTTTAACAAGGTCTATAAATTCTCCCTGATTAACAGTGCTGTTCATTTCCCCCCTTCAAAAACAAACATAGCTTTCCTTTATAGGTCCAGTGATTTAGCTGCACATTAACTTTACAACCTGCTACAATTAATAGATTAACTATTATTCCCGACTAGTTTTCACCACAAGCTTCACACGTAACACAGATGTCTTGTATATGAATTGTTATATGTACATGATATATGCAATGATTTGGAACTAAAATTAGATGTATCTACAGCAGCCCTGTCAGTTTTATCGTTCTTCAATCCATGACGATACATTACAAAAGCCCCCAGCACGCTCCATTTGTTCAGGAGAACTTTATTAAACTTATTTTTGTCCTGCTAAGTCTATATCCATCCTCACTGTTCTTCTAACAACCGATCAACGGGCATGAGCAAAATAAGTGTTTCAAGCATGCACGGTGCAAACTAAGGACTTCAATGAGCAAACAAAAAAAAACAGCAACCCCAAAACATATGGTATTATAAAGGGGGACCAAATTTTTTTTTTTTTAAAAGGAGATGAAAAAAAAGGGCCACTTTAACCATGATGATCGATTTTCCTATGTGATACCTTAAAGCAGGGGTGCCAATAAGCTAGATTCCCAGATGTTTTAGAACTACAACTTCCATGATGCTTGGTCATACTAAAGGCATTCTAAAGGCATGCAAATGATCATGGGAGTTGTAGTTCTACAACATCTGGGGATCTACGTTCTGGGCACCCCTGCCTTAACCGTTTCCACTCGGATAGAATTTCAGTGTCGTTCACCAAATTTGCCAAATGTATTTATAGAAATCATTTGTGGGTGTGTTTTTTTTCCAAGTCTTTATCAGATAACATTATGTCCCTCTGGGTGAGCCGTACGATCATCAAACTTGTATGCTACTCAGATGTCGCACCTGGTGGGAATGAGAAAATGAAAATGTCCCACCCTGTGGGACAGTCAAGGGGAAAGGGTTAAAGTGTAGTAGCTGCATGTCTAGCTTCTAGGAAGGCAGCACTATTTAAGCAAGCTTTAAAATTGTAGAATGTATTCGCTCAGCTGGAAATTGTACAGAATATTAGGCTTTTAGTGAAAATGGAAACTTTCTGCAACTCATTTTCGTATTTGTTTTTTATTAGCTAGTGTTTTTTCAATTCCCTTGTCAATTCATCACAATTACTGGATTAGTGAATATACCCCCTATATATATATCCCCTAAATTACATTGTGGAAACAAGACAGACAACTTAAGGTTTTATTCTATGTTTTAACACATTTAATGTCAGACCTGGAACTGCTGTCTAATATTAAAACTATTTGTTAATAAATGTTACATACATCTCACTCAAATGTGTGTTTTAGATTTGTTTCTGCATTAGATTGCAAGGATCCTATGCCTGGTCAGCCACTGATGTATTGATTTGTTCACTGAACAGTGGGCTTTAGTGAGAGTACAAACCAGTTGATAAAATGGAGGTGAAAATAGATTAGAAATGTGATTTTCAACTCACTTAAAATTAAGATTTTTTTCTAGATCCAGACTCACTGTTTATTTTTTGGTATTACAGAGCACTGGCATTTTCATTAAAGATTTACAATTATGCAGTTGGGTTAACAAGTCAATAACAGGAAAAATAATGCAGTCACATACAAGAGGCGAAGAAGGCCCAAAGAGCTTACAATCTAGGAAGAATAAACCAATCTGGCGTCCTATCCAATACTCGTTTAATGATTTAACATCATTAATGTCTTACAAATAAAGGGCATTTGGTTCCATCAAACCTGCCAGATTTTAGCCTTTGAAATTTCAAGAGATCTGCCCCGACATATTTCATGAAATGTTTGATACTACTTGTCTATTGGTTTATAGAACTGTTGTTGGATCTTTTTAAACAATAATATCAGTTGTATCCTATTGTAACAATGCAATGTTTTGTGGACTCAGGACATACTTGAAAACAAGAGAAATCTCAATTTATCCATCCTGGTAAAATAATTTTATAAATAAATTAAAAAATAAATTTGCTAAAAAAAACAAAAAAACAATATATTAATAAAATCTGTAAATATGACATTTGTGGGAATATAAAGAGAAACAAGTACAGTATGTGTTTCTTCATATGAAACTAAAGTGATGAAAGCTTACAGTAGTATCCACTGTATTTGGCAGACCTGGTATTTGAGAAATCTGTTGAGTAAACCTGTATTGCAGTGTCAAAAATCAATCAGAAAGCATACATTACCAGACCCCCCACCAGCTACAAAGAATGTGACCTTTCTGACTGCCATCATGGCTGTTAACTGCACAGTGACATTGGATTCTTTTTAACCACATATGTATCTAAATATAAAATATTTTATTTAAATTGCTCCCCATATGGGGACTGGACTCAACTTTATAAAAATGAGCAGCATCACCAGTGTCTTATCATTGATTACTAAATTCAATTATCTGTCAGCAAAGAACATGTGGGAATAACAATCTGGATTGACATCAAGCAATACACATGGCTCAGCGTAAAGGAGTAGGAGTCCTTTACAGCTGAAGTGCCAAACATGGCTGGATACTTAGAGATCACAAGCTAAATGTATCGTGGAAGTATCACTGAGCTCTGGGCACATCTGCTCTAAGTCAGCGCTTAAATACCTAAGACAATAGGATGGCTGAGCATCATGAGACTGGCCGTCCACAACAGCTAGATTACCGTCATTTTATCAGTGTCACACTCACAGCAAACGCAAGATTCCAATGGAACACTCAGGAATCCCTGCTACTGGGAGCACTTACCACTCTTCTTGGGCCCATTGGTCTCCACTGACTTTGCAGAAGGTTTGTTAGCCCCCTGCCCGTGGGTCTGAGTGCTGCTAGAACAACCCATCACTCCATCAAGCTAATAACAGTCCAAAAAAAGAAAAGAAAAATAACTCAAATAATGAAATATTTTAAAAAGTGCAATAATAGAAATAGTCTATGTTCTCCCAGGGAAATGACCCACAATAAATGTATCAGTAGAATCCAGGGCTGGGAACAAAACGCAGCCAGTGAGGTGGATTGCTGACAGTGTGCTCTGCAGGTCAGAGAGGTCTTGCAGTAAAGTTGATGATAAGTTGATGATAACTTGATGTTTATTTGTTCATCTCGGTTGCCATGTGAACCACAGAGCGAGCGTGCAGAGTGCAGACCCAGCTGCAGCCCCTGCGAACTCACTGCTTCTCTGCTCAGCCTGGGCTGCACACATACCAAGTGCAAGCTTTGCACATGCGCACTGCACACCACTTGTTGCTCTGTTCATACCAAATCTAACACAACACCCAGAGGGCTAATTAACCCCTCCATTCCCTGAACAATACATTCCTTCTCTCCCTGGCTCCCAGAAGAAAGAGAATATTAACAAACTGGTTAACAGGATTCATGTCAGCAGAGGATAACTGTGTGTGTTAAGTCTATGTATATAAACTGATTCTTCTAGTGGGTTATTTCACTGAACAGTGACTTATGGTGGATTGAAAATCAACCATTGAAAAATCTTGGCCAAAATAGCCAGGATGAAAAAATAAAAACTGGTTGGCAGAGGTTTTCTTAATCTGTTATAATTGTTTGCCATTTGGTTTTCACTTCACAATTTGCTGTTCAGTGAATACGCCCTTGTTTTTCATGGTATGTTGCCCAAATCATATTATAGTGTTATTTATTTTTCCAATAATAAAAAATGTCCATTGCATGATTCAAATTCTCATTATGAGTTAATAACAGTACTTAATAATATAGTACATATCAGAAACAAAGAAAGATCAATTGAACTAACAAAGCAAGAATAAAATGTTCCCCAAACATGCAGATGAAAGGTTGTTAGAGGATAGAGAAGAAGATTCAAAGGCTGCATGTCATTTTGTTTTAAATTCTGGTTTCTAACAACAATGAATTTATGTTATCTGCTTGGCTTGCCGCTCGTGTAGTAGTATCAGATGCATGCCAGAGGTTCCAGGAAGCAGTAGAGCTGCTTTGCATGTGTTCATGGGACAAAGTAAACCAAATTCCAGTGACCGGCTTATAACTGCTGTATGTAGGACATAGCATGACTGTGACAGTATAACGACTTGATTAAACAATCAATATTATGGACGTCCAGCCTTCTAGAACCGAAATCGACCTTTATTTATGGTGTAATACATATCTCTGTATCTGTATAATATTGTCTTTCAGTTAAATGCAAAACCTTAGTCCTAACGCTATAGTATGCCTTGTCCCTAACCTATTAGGTCCCCACCTCCAAGCATGAAAGGGCTAAAAAAAACTTTTATCACTTATCTGTATCCGCAACACTGGATCAGTCTCCTCCTCCCACGACGTCACGCTGATGGGGTGTCACAGGAGTTGTACCCCAACATACAGGAAAGAGGAAACCCACAAAAGGTGGATTCGAAAGGCGTATTACCGAGCCTTAGAATGGCCCGACTTAAAGTATTAATACAACAAGAAACAGGGTCAAGATAAATCAAGGACAGGAATAACACAAATAATACTCAGAGTCAAGAGAAAGCGGGGTCCAGGGCCGTCTATAATATGATTAGGACCCTGGGCAATGCATTTTCTTGGGCCCCATGGGCCCTGTCCCTGCCACTGCCTCACCCCCCAATTACGTCCAACCCGCAATCACACTGACAGACGTACTGGCACATACACACACAGACAGACATTAAAACATTCACAGATACATACTGACACACAAAGTCACAACACACAAATATATACTGGCAGACATACTGACACACACACAGACATACATACATACACAGACACATACATTAACAGATATACTGACACACACACAAACACATACACTGACAGATATACTAAAACACGTAGATACATACACTGACAGACACATTGACACACACACACAGGCATACTGACATATACACACAGGCATACTGACATATACACAGACAGACGTAATGGCTGATACAGACAGACATTAAACATTCACAGATATATACTGACACACACATACACTGACATACAAATATATCCTAGCAGACATACTGACACACACACACACACAGACATACATACATACACACACAGACACATACACTGACAGACATACTGACTGACACACACATACACACACAGACATACTTACATACACAGACAGACATACTGACACACAAAGACATGCTGACACACACACACACACACAGACATACTGACATACACACAGACAGACTGGCACATACACACAGACAGACATTAAAACTTTCACAGATACATACTGACACACAC